GAACTAGTAAGCAGTGGGCTATAGTAAGTGAAAGTGAGAGAAAAGAGTGAGTATGTGGAGGATTAAGGAAAGGACAAAAGATGAACGGGATTCAAGAAGATAAAAGATGGCGATGGTTGTAGTATTTAATCTTTTGGAAATTCTTGTTATCAGGGAAGCAAGTAAACAGAAGGCGGGAAGTGCGAGAAAAGAAACTGTTGGAGTAGAATTAGCGGTTGAATTTAGCTATTTCAATAGTAAAAGAGTGAAACCTACTTGCCAATCTAGCAGCACGCTTAAATTCATTTAGTCGGTTCACCAGGAAAAAAAAGCTTGTCAGAGTAGTTGCATGAAAATATTTAAAGAAAAGACATAGAGAAACTAAGTAACATCAATGAGAAAGTGACTGAAGTCGAGATTACAGATTTGTTTTTAGATTTTGTCACGAACACGGAGATGAATAAGAAGAATATCAGGCCAGATATGCCAACAGTATTCAATACATGGACGAATGGTATATTTGTAAATAAGCAAGCTGGATTCTGACGCGAAAGATTTTCTCCTCAGAATCCACAATACAATTGGATCACTGTAAGGCACAGTGACCCAACTTTCCTTGCAGTAGATACAACTATTAATTCTATGCAATCGCTCCAGTCAAGTCAGTTAATAACATGAGATCAAGAAGACGCAGTGTGTTGCTCTGCAGGAGTCTAACGTCAGCTATGCTGATCGTAGGCAGGAAAGTTTCTCTATATCCTGGTACATCTACAAACATTTCGTCATAAAAAAAAAATCCGGATTTTTGGAGGCTACAATTGTTTTCAGATAATAGATTGTGTGCTTGGAGTGTAGTTAAAATAATGGAAAGAAATATGATTAAATAAATATTAATGAAAAATACTAATGAAAAATCAAACGCTGTAAATTTGCCTCTTTTTATAAATACTTTCATGTTAATTATTCGGATGAGCTATTCGCTATGGTACTTAGACTATTTGAATTTAAGCGCAATACTCGAGTGGCGGCGAGATTGCATCAATTTAGAGTTGATCTAGCTATATGTAAACGTACCTTCTATGCTAACAGTTCCTTTTCTCGCCCTTCTTGCACGTGGAACTCGCTGCGGGCCTCATGCGTTCCAGGCAACTTTTATCAGCAGAAAATAAAATGCAATGCTAATCGCTATCCACCTGATTACTCGTTACTCTTTTCTCCTCATTTGTGATTACTCTTTTCTTTTTCTCTAAATTCCTCCACACCTCTTGCCACTTAGTGGCTGTGCTGTCTTGATTAGGGGGGGGGGTGATAGTGATTAAAAAATAAACAAACGAATATAAATAGTGAAAATATGTTCTTATTTCTTTGTAAGGATAATACTGTTATTATTATTATTTTGATATGTTGTTTCATATAGTTATTTACTAAACTTCCACCTAAAACCTCAGATGAAAATTTTCCGAGGAGTTCATTGAATGAATTTTGTGAATAGTACTCATTGACACGCTATTTTGTCTACAACATTGTCGTATGCGCGCATGACTTCCTCATAATCCTCTCTCATCCATTTGGCTCGACGATTTTTTTCCCTGTTCTTATCAGTATGTGTTGGATGAAGTGAATCAAAATTTGGAATCTGATGGTGTCCATTCTCATTATTTAGAGGAACAATAACAGAAGCATATATTTGACTCCAAACAGAGTTCCATTAAGAATTGTGATGTTTCCATTTTGATTATTTTGGTCAGAAATCTTTTTTTCGTGACTTTATTTTTTATATGCAGTATATCATATGTATTATAAATAACAACATATAATAAAATGTCTCGTTCTCTTCATGTGTTGTATTCAAATGGGATTATATTAAAGTCTTTATATCATGCTATATGTAAAGCATATGACGCATTAGAAATTATTATTATTATTTTGTCATCGGTACTAGGTGGAGATTGACATTGTAGATCAAGTGACAGTAACTCTTACGTTGTATCGTTAGTCATCTTACTCATTTCACTAATCCCATAATTTAAATAGTTTCAGCAATACCATCGCTTTTTTCAAGTTATTAGTTTTCTAACGATTTTCTTTGAAACCGTCCTAATTGATTGAGATTTTACGGCTTATCAAACCTTTTCATGTTATTTAAATCTAGAAAATCGTTTTTGGTTTTAAGAATGTTATTGAGATAATACTGATTTACGGATAAAGTCCTACTAAATAAACCCATAGCAAGCTGGTGGGGTGAAGGAGAAGAGGTGGATTCATGCCTTTCCCAAGGCTATTTGCGTATAAATAAATAAATAAAAAGAAAACGATTGGAATTGGAATTCGGCTCTCGATTACCAATTCTGAACTATTTTCTGTTATACCACCCGCACATCCAACCTTACACCAACCTATTATTCCCAAGCGATCACCAAACTAGAAAGGAAAAGACTAGCTGGGAAACGTCAAGATTTCTCTAAATACGATAGCTGAACTCTCACGTTCCTTCATTATTATTATTATTATTATTATTGTTGTTGTTGTTGTTATTTATAATGATGATGATGATGATGATGATGATGATGCCAATGCTACCTCGTGGTTATCGATAGAGACCGAGTTGAAGCAAGCCTACTCAAATCTAAAACAATTATTATTATTATTGTTCTTGTTGATGATGATGATGACGATGATGATGATGATGACGATAATGCATTTTTCTGTTACCGCCAAACCTATTTTGTGGCTATCGTTAAAAACTGAGTTGAAGTAAGCCTCTTGAAATCTAATTCAGTTATTATTATTATTATTATTATTATTATTATTATTATTGTTGTTGTTGTTGTTGTTCTTGTTATTGTTGCTGTTGATGATGAGGATGACCACGACGACGATGACGATGATGCATTTTCCTGTTACCGCCAATGCTATATGGACGTTATCGATAGAGCCTGAGGTGAATCAAGCCTACTCAAATTTACACAATTATTATTGTTATTATCATTATTATTGTTGTTGTTGATGATGATGATGATGATGATGATGATGATGATGATGATGACGACGGCGATCATGCATTTTCCTATTGACGCCAATGCTATCTTGTGGTTATCGTTAAAGACTTAGTTGAAGCAAGTCTACTCAAATCTGCATCAACTATTATTATTGTTGCTGTTGTTGTTGTTGTTGCTGCTGCTGCTGCTGCTGCTGCTGATGATGATGATGATAAAGATGCATTTTTCTGTTGACGTCAATGATATCTTTTGGCTGTCGTTAAAGACTGAGTTGAAGCAAGCCTACTCAAATCAGCATCAGTTATTATTATTATTCTTATTATAAGTAGTATTAGTAGTAGTGGTGGTACTAGTAGTTGTTAAGGAATGATCATTCCGATTTTGAATGATTTTTCACTTACAATCTGACATTACTAATTACGCCAAAGATAAACTCTTAATTATTACATTTAACATTATTATCACCAAGTATAAATCATTATTACTTTTCAGGCAAATATCATGGAATTCTAATTTTGAAACGAAGTGAAATTTTCGAAGCAGGCCCAAGAAATGAGAAGATTTGAAGTATGCAACGTAAGAAAATAGAGTTGCAATTATCTTCAACTAGAAAAGGTTTACAGCCGGAAGTATTCTTAAAAAGAGAAAGGACAATAAAGAAAACATCGCCTTTGTCGATTAATTTTGAAAGAATCATAATTTCTACTTCGGTTCGTCGAAATTTTTTGGCTTCTTTTTAAGTTTCGTTCTGTCTCGTTTGTTATGGAACATACGCATTTCCTTAAGGTGGCCATATGTAATTTGAATATTTACGTAACGGAGAAAGAAATAACATTCGGAAAAATAGAGGGAGATACAGAGATGGATGTTGTTGGTATTCACGTAGGAGATGGGTAAGAGGAAAGACAGTTTGAAAAACTGAGATGGGTAGATAGAAGTGAAAGGAGCAGAGAAGTTTGTAGAAATACGAAGAGAAATATAAAAAAAAGGAGGTGGCGATAGAATAAATAGAAAAAATAGAGAGGTTGGGAGTAGAAGAAGCAGAAAGATAGAAAGAAAAAGTAATAAAAAGAAAGGAAAACGTAGAGTGATTAAAATGAGATATTTGTTTTATTGAGTGGAAAGAAGAAATAGTTGTATGATGATATAGAGATGAACAAAAATAGTTGAGAGAAAGGTTCAGAGAGAGAGAGAGAGAGAGAGAGAGAGAGAGAGAGAGAGAGAGTGAGAGAGGGGGGTGAAGTCAAAATAAAGACGGAAAGAGAGACAAAAAATAAAAAGAGTACACTAGAGAGAAAGAGAAGGTTTGGAGAGAGAAAAATGAACGGGTGTAAGAAAAAGAGAGCGGGAAGAAAGACAATTTGATTGCATCGAAAGGAAAACATTTCTGAAGAAGGAAAAAATGGTTGAGGAAAAATATTTTACTGAAAATACAATAGAAGAAAACAATTCGTAAGAAAATGTATAAGATTTTATAAATTTTATAATGAATGAACGCAGAAAATTAAAGATTAGAAAGAGAGAGGGTAGGATATGAGAGAGGGTAAAATATGAAAGAGGGTAGAATATAAAAGAGAGTAAAATATGAGAGAGGGTAGGATATGAGAGAGGGTAGGTTATGAGAGAGGGTAGGGTATGAGAGAGGGTAAGATATGAGAGGGGGTAGAATATAAGAGAGGGTAAGATATGAGATGGGGTAGAATATATGCGAGGGTAAAATATGAGAGAGGGTAGTTAATATGATGACGCGTAGAAATTTAGAGAAAACAGATGATGAGAGCGGGTAGAAATTAAAAAAGAGTTTAAGAGAAAAGGGCAAAGAGAGAAATAAAGCGATTTATTAGTTATTATGATTAGTATGGCACAAGGACAAATGTTATAGGAATATTCATATGCGTCAATCTTGAAAGTGAGACGCGCCGAACTGCTTAAAATGATCATTCTACATAGGATATTTTATTTAGGCTTGAACACCAACCGCTGGTAGCAGTTATGAATAATATGAAGGAAGTCAATATGGTGTCAAGACAGAAAAGGAAATATGACGAACAGTGATTTGAAGAGAGAAAAGTGTGTAAATATGAGGGAAATGTGATAGATAAAAGCAAATATGAAATTTGAACGAAAATCGTAGAAAGGACCCATGTAGAATGATTTACGTTTTGATTGACGTAAACGGTAAAAAAAAAAGAAGAAAAAAAATGGTGATTTAAAGCGAAAAGAAAGACAAGAAATGAAAACTGTCAATAAAAATAAAGTGGCGGGACGAAAAAAATGATTTAGAAATAAGGGGGAAAGAAAAGGAAGGAGAAATGGAAAAACAAAGAAGAAATAAGAAGAGAAGTGTGAATATATGGGGAAAAATTTTACGAAAAGAAAGAAAAGAAAAAAAAAGTTTATTATGAAGGATACAAAGAAGATAGGAAAAAATTAAAAACAAGAAGAAAAAAGAAGGAAAATAAGAAGAATGGAAATAAAGACGATAAATGTGTCAGTAAAATGAATAAAAAAAATGAAAAAAAAAGAGAAAAAACTGAAAATTTGAAAATGAGAGTGAAAATAAACAGAAAGAAAAAAGTAAGAGACGGAAAAAGATAGGAAAATAACTAAAAAATCAACGGGAAAAAATGGAAAATATAAAAGAAAAGAAAGAATAGGAAGAAAATAATGATGAGTGAGAAAATGATAATAATAATAATAATAATAATAATAATAATAATAATAATTAGAATAAGAATAATAACAATTATAATAATAATAATAATAATAATAATAATAATAATAATGAGAAAAGAAGTGAAAAGACGAAGGCAGCAACAATAAAAATTGACAGAAAAGGAAAAAGGGAATGGTGTGCTAAAATATAGAATAAATTTATCACATTGGAAGATGAAGCATTGGAAAGAGAGTAGAACGAAAAGAAAGACACAGAGAGAATGGGATGGAGGGAGGGAATGAACGGGAGGGAGGGAAGAGAAAATAGGAGAGAGAGAGAGAGAGAGAGAGAGAGAGAGAGAGAGAGAGAGAGAGAGAGAGAGAGAGAGAAAATTCCCCGCGTGGAAATCGGAAGTTTTTGTTGTTTTTCAAATCACAGAAAAGTGAAGACATTTCTATTTTTTAAAAAAAAGGAAAAAAAAAAAAAAATTCAAATTGAGGCGAGACACATAAGCAGTGAATGTGATGCTGACAGGAAGAAGAAAACGAATCTAAGAAAGGCAGTGAGAGGAAGGATAAAAAAAAAAAATATTGTGTGGAGGATGGTGGAATTAGTGACGTCACACACGCGGCTTGTGTTCGAACGTTTGGTAAGAATGGATGGAAATGGAGAAAAGAAATGGAATTGTAAAAAAAGTCTTCGAAAGACGAAACTAGAAATGAGGAACTGGCTGAAAATTGATGATACATTTTTTCAGTGACAGGTGGAAGACAAGTATGAATTTAAAAAATGTCTACAAATATATATATATATATATATATATATATATATATATATATATATATATATAGCTAATGTGCAATAAACATGAAAAATACAAGTTTCTAAAAATAACCATATGAATATATATTTGTGTGTGTGTGTGTATGTGTACACATTTTATGATAATTAGACATTAAATAGGTAACTATATATGAACAAAACTGATTTGTTATATGGAATGTCTACGCATTTATTAAACATCTATTTATCATTGTCTATTCATATCTATCTATCTATCTATCTATCTATCTATCTATCTATCTATCTATCTATCTATCTATCTATCCCATTCTGTTCATTATCTATCTATCTATGCCATTAAGTTCATATCTATCTATCTATCTATCTATCTATCTATCTATCTATCTATCTATCTATCTCATTCTGTTAATTATCTATCTATCTAATCCATTAAGTTCATATCTATCTATCTATCTATCTATCTATCTATCTATCTATCTATCTATCTATCTATCTATCTATCCCATCTATCTATCTGTCTATCTATCCCATTCTGTTCATTATCTGTCTAACTATGCCATTAAGTTCATATCTATCTATCTATCTATCTATCTATCTATCTATCTATCTATCTATCTATCCCATTCTGTTAATTATCTATCTATCTATGCCATTAAGTTCATATCTATCTATCTATCTATCTATCTATCTATCTATCTATCTATCTATCTATCTATCTATCCCATTCCATTGTTAATTATTATCTATCTATCTATTAAGTTCATTAAGTTCTATCTATCTATCTATCTATCTATCTATCTATCTATCTATCTATTTCAGTCTGCCTATACATGTCTATCTCTTAATCAACCATTTTATTAACACTCTATAATTATGCATCACTCTATTAATATCTATCTTATCTGGAAGTAAACAAATGCTATCCAATATAATTTGCCTGAATTATGAGTTCGATCCTTGTTGAATTCGATGTTTTTATGGCGTTGTGAGTCGCACTTGCTGAGCCAGCCAGTCCGCGAAATCATTCGCTTATACAGTGAATGGTAATCATCGCCGTTTTTTTATATTTCGAACGTATTTCGTCACTAATGCAATAGCGATAATGACAATTCAATTACCTTCTCATCGTCACTGGTCTAAATTAAAATAAAGTCTTATATTGTACACTTCAAAAGAGCCTGCTGTAGAGCGATCGTGTGTAAATATTCACAGTTATGTAAGAGTTTCATACATGAAAGTAACTATTCTTCCAGTCTTCTGATTAGTTCATATTCATCTATCTATCTATCTATCTATCTATCTATCTATCTATCTATCTATCTATCTATCTATGAAAGATTCATATCATCTATCTATCTATCTATCTATCTATCTATCTATCTATCTATCTATCTATCTATCTATCTATATATGAAAGATTCATATCTATCTATCTATCTATCTATCTATCTATCTATCTATCTATCTATCTATCTATGAAAGATTCATATCTATCTATCTATCTATCTATCTATCTATCTATCTATCTATCTATGTATCTATCTATCTATCTATCTATGAAAGTTTTCCTTATCTATCTATCTATTTATCTATCTATGAAAGACTCATATCTATCTATCTATCTATCTATCTATCTATCTATCTATCTATCTATCTATCTATCTATTTCTAGCTATCTCAGGTTGTTCATATTTATCCGTATACTTATAACGATACACACTATGTATATACGCGCGTGTGTATGAGCAAAATCTGACTAGTACCATTAAATAGTTTATGTTGTATGCATTTATCGAGCGTGTAATCTCATTGCTACATACGTAAATATATTTTATATCTACAAGGTATATCAACGGTTTATAAGACAGCTCATTTTTGTAAAAGTCGGGATATATAGCTATATATAAGGAGCTGATTCGCGAAAAATTCACTTAATCAAAACAACGGGAATATTGGCGAAAAAAAAAACAATTAAAACTTCTCTGGAAATTGCCATAAAAGCTTTTAGAAAGAACAGTTGGCTGAAAATATAAAATTTATCATAAAAGATAAGACCGCTTTTATTTCCTGTTAACGAAATTTGAACAAACACACAAACGCACACATATATATATATTTTTTTAAAATAAATAATCTTTTTGATAGACATTATTTTGAAGAAACCAATGTAAAATTCAATTTGCTAGCTTAATTGTGTTTTGACAACTTTCTGATGAACAGTCCAGTCAGTCCATTTACTTAAACATATAAATATTTTCCAGATGACATAAATTTTGGAAGTATTTTAAGAAAAGACATAAGATAGTATTTGTGTATCCTTACATATTAAAAGGGTTTGGTACGCTATTATTGATTTCTTTTTATAATGCCATGTTCCTTCAAGTTGTAGGCGAGCATGGATCTCCACAGATTCCTCTATATATCATTATGGCTACTTTTCAGAAATAGTCCAATAGTTCCCATTTTTTCTCCAAGCATATGAATTCAGAATTTTTCTTCTCCTAAACTGGCTACCACTCGTGTACAGAGAGTTAAATATATCCTGTTATTTAACTCTAGGAAGAGTGAAAATAATGGCTTCATGAATTTCTCAACGCTATTCGCGTGAAAGCGAATGCAACAGATATGTCCAGAATTTAAACACATGGTGATATTCAGACAGTTACGCGCCATACGTGATACCCGCTTTGGCAATACATGACAGACGAGGTCGTTTTTTTTTTTCCCGCGGTAGGTTGCCATTTCTTTCTGCGGTAGACCAGCTGCCATCATAGGCTATAGAACCATGTCCTGCTATTTACCTATTTATTAGCTGGAGTGAAAAGAAGAGGGTTCATAACTTTCCCAAGGGTAATAGCACGTAAATGAATTTTAATGGATTCGAATTCGGCTCTCCGATTCCTCAAACCGAACCACTATCCATTATTCCACCGCGCCTCTCAGGTAGAAATACTACGTCTAAGTCTGCAAAGACTTTAACTACCACCACCCTTATTATTCTTATTTTTAGTTATAAAGTTTCAAGAGAATGAAATATCTTTACGTTTGTTTTCTCTCTGAACTGTAAAACGAAAAAAGACACTAGTTTATCTTCCAGAATGACTGATAAATAAAAATGTTTTTAAAGAATCTGCTTTTAATTATAGATTTTCTATTATTTCCAATGGTCCTTAAACTATTTGTTTCCAAACAGAAAGAAAATGACGAATTAGAAATGAAACATTCACCACCAAAAGAACTCTACTTTATTATAGGGATACAATAAACCATCTTCAAGTGATTGTTCTTCTAAAAATATTCACGTCAATACAAGTCTTATATTATTAAGAACAAGATTCTTTATTCATGACTAAATTATTATACCTATGAATGTATATATCATTTTCTTTCATTCTTTCTTTCTTTCTTTCTTTCTTTTCATTAAGTTTTATTTTTACTTAAAAATGCAAATAGAAATATATATTTAAATACATATACTCATATAGATATTGTATATATTCATAAATATATGCTATTAATTTAGTATAATTATTATATTTCAATTTGTACTTGTTTTTCTACTGAACATCAATACACACAAACACATGCACATAGGCACACACAGAGACACACACACAAACACAGACAGACAAACCAAACACACACACACACACACACACACACACACACACACACATATATATATATATATATATATATATATATATATATATATATATATATATATATGTAAATGGAGACTGGCAGGGAATGAAAAATCAAGAGTTCCTTACATTTACTTACGCGAGAATAACCCTGGCATAAATCCATCATTTGTACCCCCCAGGTATGGTTTAAAGAGTAGGGTAGACGGGACTCTTTAGTTTTGGCATGGCAAATAATCTTTTAGAAAAACAAATATGAATTAAAAACCTGACGGTATTTGTTTGGGGAGCTTGTGGCACAATATACAGGCTGTGATAGATAAGTTGTCACCATTTTATATTTTTAATTTCGCGCATGCGCATTATTTGTTTTTGATGTTGCCGACTTCAGGGTATAGTAGGGTCAGCTGGGAACGGTCTGTGAGAAAAAGAGCACCATGACACAATTCACTCCACCAGAAATTTGGAAACGGCGTGATGTACTGCTTGACATTTGCACCGGAAGGTCTAATACGATCATTTCAGAGTGTTTGGGTGTCAATCTGAGGATACTGCAGAGGATTCAGAAAGGGTTGGATGAGTGTGATGGTGATTACGATGATACGACAGCGCTGAAAAGTCTGTCGTTTTTATGAGAAAACTCCTGAAATTGTTAGTGAGGGCGTCAGACTCAACACGGAGGCCTACATCAAGTGTCTTGAGAAGGTAGTCCTGTCTTGGGTCAAGACAGTGGCTGCTGCAAGACCCTATGTCTGGCAACAGGATTCTTCACCATGTCAGCCACGCAGGAGAAGCCATTCATGGCTGTCAGACAATCTTTGCAACCACATCAACACTTACATCTAGCCACCTAACACCCCAGACTGCAACACCCTTGATTATTATGTGTGGGGCGGAGTTGAGCGGGAGATCAACAAAACTCCTTGTAACACCAAAGATAAACTGAAAGCAAGGATAACAGCAGCATTCACCTACTTAACAAGGAAGCCGTCCATATGCATTACGTGAGATTCCGAAGTCATCTGCAGGCCGTGGTTGCTGCCAATGGCTTATTTTATTGTATGTAATTTTGGTAAATATATGTTAAATGAAATGTCAATGCTATTTCCATTTATGCCTAATTTAGACGACAATTTATCCATCGCACCCTACGCTTTAGTTCACTGTATCCCGTTCTTTCTAAAAGTGCGTCTGTTTGTGCATAAGTCTTCAGCAATATAATCAAACCATGTGTGCAGGTTGACTAACTGTTCAGTTCTATCAAATAAACACTGCTACTTCGAAATCAACTGGAGAAAGAATCCATTTCATATATATTTTATATTACTAGGATCCAACAGATTTATTAGCTTTACTCTCTCTCTCTCTCTCTCTCTCTCTCTCTCTCTATATATATATATATATATATATATATATATGTTAAAATAAAGAGAGTTCCAGAAAGACATTTGCGTAACTAACACACTAACAATGAATGTCTCATATGGAGAATATTTAACATCGAAAAACAAAATATATATTTAATAATTTGTGGAAATTTCCATGTCTTGCCTGATGAAGTTCACGAGAGCGGGAACCCATGTAGCACGATTATGGAAAATAAAGCATAATATTTTCTAAAAGAATCCACGTTACAACCAAAAACGTTTGCGGTTTCTCTCTTATTTTTAATGCACAGACTTTTCTCTCTTTGGACCTACTATAACCTCTTCCCTATATATATATATATATATATATATATATATATATATATATATATATATATATATATATTAGCAGCCTGATCTCTCTTATTTACTAATTACATATCATGTTGTTATGATAACACGTGCTACGTTTACATATTGACGTTGAGTCATACCTCCCTGTCAACATAACAACGGAAAGATTTCTTTACGAAAGAGAGGAAATAAGGTTGCGTAACTAATACATATACAAAGTCATCTATGCGGACATGTCGATGTCGCAATGGTTATTATCAAAGTAAATGACATCGAAATCCGCATTGTTCTCCACGTGTTCACTTAGACTTATTACATTTGGGGAAAACATGAATCCTCTTATTCCGTTGATAGATATCACCACATAGCATGATGCGATGTTTTATATAGAAAAGAGTGACGGGGTGAGCCATCTGAAAGGCCTATCTTTATCTGGATGTGTGATAACTAGACAATAAAACTGTCATACCCACTCCAGTCTCAACACTTACAGTTGCCAAGAAGATTTAATAGATATTTATTCTCTGTCTCTCCCCCCACTCTCACTCTCTCTCTCACGCACACACATCCAAACACCCACACATATATGCACCCACTAGTCATTTAATGCTTTTTGAGAAAATTTCTTTTCAGCCAATGAGGTGACAGCAATTTACTGGATATAGACATTTAAAAAAGTCGATCTGCTGAATTTCATTTCATTCATTAGTATGGAAAATATTTTCTTACGTGAATTTGAATGAGACATAGCAGATTGTTGTAGCCTGGGGGGATCTGAATATTAAAAAATGCTCAAATCGTAGAATTTCCATGCACAAATATCTGTGGGGTTTCCAGAAATAGGTAAAAAAAAATCCACCATACAGCAATGCCGACTATATATATATATATATATATATATATATATATATATGTGTGTGTGTGTGTGTGTGTGTGTGTGTGTGTGTGTGTGTGTGTGCGTGTGTAAACATTGTCCAAATCCTGTAACAGCATAGGATAACTGTCCAGCCCACAAAATGTTTGTTATCTAAAATAACAAAACTTTTCTCCAGGTTTTCAAATAGGACGTTTGGTCATCTTGATACCATTTGTCGTATGAATCACTGAAAAACACTTTGAGTTATTCAGCTAGAAAGAGAACAGTTTAAAATCATTTTGTGTCAGACTCAAATGAGCAATGGTGAGAGAAAAAAAGATCATTCAAGCCTTCAGTAATGGTGCCATCATTCATACTCTGGCGTCCATCTTCAAAGTTCATTCAAAGAACCATCAAGAGAAACGGTGAATTACTTTTAAAAAGAGGGAACAGTAAAGAGGAAAATTAGATCAGGAGGTCATAACAGAAAGAGAGATTATCATTTCAACTAAGAGATAAAGAGATCAATTAGAAAAGAGCCAACTCAGTTTTATAAGACGTTTGGCACGTCAGAGTGGAGTTTCAGCAGTGAAAAAAGAAAAAAAGTGAAATCTCACGGGAAAACTTTGAGTCACATTGTTATTCCAGGACAGAAAGTTAGAATGTTAAAGAGGGCGAAGATCATCTTCAATAAGTTGAAAAAAATAATCCTGGAATAATATATATTTGAACTTTATTTCAATCCGTCCTGAGCTTCCTGAGCTATGATTAATTAAGGATGAACATGTCATTTTCATTTATGATCGATTTCCTCGCGATTCTCTGTTAAGCTTCGAGACTAATTATACATTCTTATTGCTCAAAGTAGAGTCCAATAGTGTTATAAAAACCTCGGAGAATTCCAGTAAGATCTATAAGATGCAACGATTTCCATGTTATAAGGTTCAATGCTTAATCTAACAATTATATATATATATATATATATATATATATATATGATGGTCACTCGTCACTCGTATTCGAGCATACCCTTTCACTAGGGCGGCTAGCCAATCCCTATTGCAGATTCTCGCTCAGTCACATTTGTGTTTGTTCAACATGTGGTTTGTACTGCAACTGGTTATCTAGATTACAATCTGATCAACATACTTAAATGCTCGGTCAAGATGACTTGTGAATTTGTGCTAGTCTCCCTCCTGAGGAATAAGACCTGGTGAAATTCGAACCCGACTGTCATGGTCAGGAAGCAAACGTCCTAACCACTCGGCCACGTTATATATATATATATATATATATCGGCAAACGTTCTAACCACTCGGCCACGTTATATATATATATATATATATATATAAATATAAAAGAACCGTGATATATATATATATCTTACCGTTCTTTTCTTTATATATATATATATATATATATATATATATATATATATATATATAAAGAAAGAATTAGTAGTTGATTATAGGTTTCCAGCACCCATTATTTGAAAATTGGCACGGAATACACCGTTTTTTTTTTGCTGGAAACTTTTGAACCCACCTGATATTTTGATGACAATTGCTTACACTTCCATCCGAATTAGAAGGCATGAAATCTAAATTAAAATCTCACTGAAGAAAAAGCCGGGAAAAACAAGTAGAATATCAATGAAACTAATTAAATTATCGAAATTCGCCAGAAATACAAAGATTTTACAAGTAAATAAAAATGTTTTTTTTTATGTTGAGATGTGCCGATTGCAAAGTTAAGACATTTTTTAAGTGCATGGCTGTTAGCAAAATGAACAGCCGAAAAATGAAAATTACAAATCGGGGATACCAAAAAAAAAAACAATAAAAAATTAAAAAAAAATATCTAAACAGAGTATTAAAAAAGAGAAAGACTTCGATAGAAACAAAGAAAAAAAAAAGATTACTGAACTTTTACTGGATATCTGTCCTCAAATACCGCAATGAATGCTGGATAATCGCCCCAAAAATGAAGTAGAGACTTTAAGCAACAGAATTTTGGTTCTACAGAATGATGTTAGTAATGCAACACAGCAAATATATAAGCATTGACGGAGTTTTAGAGAAAATGAAAACAAAAAAGAAAATCAGGAAGAAACAGTCGAAATTTCTAGCCCATATAATGA